ATCAATACGTGACCGAAACTAGTATAATACTACTGGGTTCGCAATACAGGCTGAATTGAAGAATCAAATCCCTGGAGGAACAACTTTAGATTAGTTTACTTTTCTGGATAAACAATACAGGACGTCAATCATTCTTTTTGCTGACGAAAGAAAAGGAACTGTTGTCACATAAATTCAACAACACACATATTTGCCCATTTCTTTCAATTATAATAATATAGAGGTGGAGAAATATTATGTAAAAGATATAGAGTGTAGATATTTCGGAAACATATTAGAGAAACAAAAGAAAGGAAACTATCTATTCATTTAACTGCGATCAACAGTTTTGTTACATGTACATCTCGTCAAACAATCTGAACCAAGGTAATATGTCTTCGAATGGATGTTAGGTCCACATATATTCTAGCAATAAGACACATCTATTCATCTCGTCTTGTTGGTATAGAACCGTTGTTTATTTCGTGGAATTGTGAAGAAACTCCTAGATCGACGAAATTCAGAGGTTGTGGTAACCAAGTATATTTTCCTTTTTAAAGGGGGACATAGTAGTTTCTATAGCTCCACGCCCATACGTTTTAGCTCACAAAGTTCAACCTGCATCAATTGTTTTTCTTTTCCTCTTATTTTTTCATAAAAAAATCAGGATACCCCTCCTATTTAGCCCTATTAGACACTTCACACTGTCGTTTCTTTTCTAGAAATAAAAGTCATGCATTTCGGCGTTCTTCTTCTCCTGTTGACAACTTTTGTATTTACCTCTGCTGAAGAACAACATCCACGACAAATTGGACGTGTTGCAAATCAGATCTTCAAACAATTTCATCCATCACTTATTTCGAAAACATTCAAAGTAGGGTGTCATGTGATCGCTCATGATTGTTTTAAACAGAAGATGATACTGTTGCAATATATGAAAAATCGCTTGACGGCAAACTCGAAGTTTGTGCATCAGCCTACAGTGTTAAATAAATGGAAAAATGGAATAAAATGAGGTCACTCAGTTCGATGCCACTGAACGACTTAAAATAAATGATTCTGGATGGAGAAGGGGAACAGACGATTGGTCTATGTCACAAAATGATAATTTAATTATTCTTCATGCTTTTGTACATCATATTCAGTAAATTGTTTTTCGCTCTTTATGTTTGAAGTGTGAACGTCCTTTTTGTACTGAAAGATTGTCATGAACGACATTCTATATCGCTTCTGATGGAATTGCGGATTTTGCTGTCAGCTCAAAAGTGGGATAGATAACTGCAGCCTCAACTAGAAATTAGGGCACTGAGTTTTCGAAGGAATATACTTCGAAGAATATATTTGCATTGGTTGTCGCCATTGATCTCCTGAATTTCGAAGGGTGAAATTTGGCACTTAAATGAATTGGAACTTTTGAATCCTGAAATAATATATATCCATGGTAATAACAAGCAGCCTTTATGTTTATAATGTGCTGATTAATCACTATTACCAGTTTTAGTCGAGTGACAAGCAATCATTTTTACCAGTTCAGCGGATTCATCCGCCGCTCAATGGTGATTATCTGATTAAAAGAGTTTGGGATATTTAAATTTTCTTCAGCTACTCTTGAAACTTTTGCACTGAAATACTTCCAGAAGATAGTAGCAAGAAGTAAAAGTTAAATGTCAGGCAAAAAAACAGAAATTGTAAATAGTGTATGTAAACGATAAAATTTTCTTTTGCATAAACATTCTTTTTTTTTTCTCTCCTTTCCTTCGGCGTGTGAATATATGAACTGCGTGTGTATGTCATGTTATATTTGAAAGAAGAGATATGTACTGTAATGAAAAATGAAAATATGTATATATAAGCTTACTTTTTTTTATATCAACTTTTTTTTTCTGCTGCGTCACCGCTTTCTACTTTTCCTCTTCTCCATCTTTTGCTGCGTCACTTCTCATTATTTCTGTTTCTTTTCATTCTGTTTTGCTGCGTCATCGCTCTCTATTTTTTCTCTTCTGACCATTTTGCTGTGTCACGCATACGTACACACATTGATTCGTATTTAAACGTGCAATCCCTCGGATCTGATTTCGTACAAAATGTCTTCTACCAAAATTAACATACTATTGACCGGCGCCACTGGCTACACCGGAGGTGCCGTCTTGACTGGTCTCCTTCAACATTCAAATGCCTCGAACTTCAATATAACCGCTCTCATTCGTGGTGATGAAAGCAGAGTGAAGAAGCTTGCGTCGCTCGGTGTTACACCTCTCATTGGCTCAAATGATTCACACGAAATCATCGAGAAAGCTGCAAGTGAATCGCATGTGGTTATTCATACGGCAAACTCGGCTGACGATCTTCCATCGGCCACAGCAATTGTTTCTGGCTTGAACAAACGAACCAAGGCAACAGGAAAGCCGGCTATTTACATCCACACTAGTGGCACTGGTGTCCTCACTGAAGACGTTCGCGGCAAGAAAGGATCGAATATCGTCTACAACGATCTTGATCCCGCTCAGATCAATGGTCTAGGCGATGAGCAGTTACATCGCAACGTCGATCTCTTTGTTATCAATGCAGCAGATGCCAATCCTCTGTTGAAAAGTGTCATCATACTTCCGCCTCTTATCTATGGAATTGGTAAAGGACCGTTTAATCGCACTTCCATTCAGCTTCCTATCCTTATTCGGGCTGCCTTGAAACGAGCCAAGGCCGAAGTGCTCGGGCCAGGTGAGGCGACGTGGGACAATGTTCACATAGACGATTTGGTCGATGCGTACATAATCCTTCTCGATCAACTTCTCGCTGCTTACGGACCAGATGCCAAGGTTAATGAGAAGCCCAGTCCATACTTGACTACAGGACGAGAGGGCTACTATTTTAGCGAAAGCGGACGACATACGTGGCGACAGCTCGCCGAAAAACTAGGGGAAGTTCTATACAAAAAGGGTATTGCCAAATCTCCTGAAGTCACAAGCTTTCCCGATGAAGAAGTGGAAAGTGCTTTACCCTTTGGCCGATTCAGTTTTCTCGCGTTGGCTAGCCAATCGAACTGCAAGGCCGAGAGAATAAGGAAATTGGGATGGAAGCCACATCGGCCGAGTCTGTTCGACAGTGTTGAAGAACAAGTTGATGCCTTGATCAAGGATGCAAAGAACTGACACTCTTTGAACGCTTGCATCTCAGACAATTCACGCGTCAAACTTTTTTTCTTTTTTTTTTTTAAAGCTTTATTATATGATATTGTGTAGTGAAGAAAAGTACAAAAAATACTGGATATAAGACATATGAACAACATATAATAACCCATGAGGTCACTTTGAATGTTCTGTAAAGGAAAAGTTGCTAATGAATACTGATGTATAGTGTACATTAGCAACGACATAACCTCCTCTTTTTTGCAGAAAGTTTTCATTTTGAGCTGAAGATAGTCTAATGTAGAGGAGAGTCTAGGCTATAAAATGAGACCATTCCCAGCTCTCCATGACCTTCCTTGAAAAAAATTTTGATCACAAATACTTCAGACCCTATCTGAGGTTCATTTTTTAAAAAGCGTTTTCTATTTCAACTTTCGGTGTGGGAAGGTTTTCGAAATGAAAAAGTCGTTTTCTATATGGGATTTTCGGTATTTTTCGAGTATCTTGAGAAGGAAATAATATTTTTGGAAAAGAAAAACAACGAACCTGAGACAGGGTCTGTATTGGCTAATTATATTTATCGTAAAATATGAGAAGTAGATTTAACTACTGGAAACTTTAATGTCCGGCATAGGCGTGATCGGAATCATATTAGCATTATTTCTCAAGCAAGAGCAACAAGGTATTATATATACTAATCTTAAAGATGTTTTATCAGCTATCGAAAAACTATAGTCTAAATTCGATTATTCTTGGTTACATACATGATGGTATTATATGGAATTATTGGATATAATTGAGAATTTGATATTTTTCGAAATACTGTATAAAAAGACAATGAAGATATAAAAGCGATAGCCAATACTATAGTTGCTCTTTTGTCTAATTTATGCTTAACGCATTACTGAAAAAATAAATTAGATGTCACTGATGTTAATACATCGTTAGCTAGACCACCAATTGAAGGACAGCAAT